GAAGTTGATTGCTAAGTGAAACCACAACTGTGCTAACTTTGACTTTCCTTTGCTTTACAGACGTGCAAAGATTGTAAATGTGAGAATTGGTTGTAAAGACACTTTTTAATGACCATTTTAATTATGAACAGTTGCTGCCTGAGGTAATTGCTAAATGAGGATTACCTATATTTTTTGTCTTTTAGGGGAAAAAATAAAACCATTTTATGGGAAAGGTCATAAAGTGAATGATATAGAAAAAGCTTTAAAGGTAATTCAGTATAACAGATGCTGAGTCCTGATACAGCATGATTTATGTCATCAAGCTAGATATTCTTTTTTAAAAAAATAGCCTAAAGATTACTTATGGAGGAGATTCACAACAGAAAATAGCAATAAAACACCTGGCTTAAGGAAGCTGATGTAGCTTGGTGCTGAAACGTATTGCTAAAAAACCTTGGGATAATTATAAAATCACTGGAGTGTGTGTAGGAATCTATACAGCCAAATTTCTATTGGCAAGCTGTGGGTGAACCTTTTCCCTGAGAGTGCTAAATCCCTCCACACAACAGTGCCCAAGATTTATTTACATACCTCCTTCTGACTTGACCCTGGGAAAGTGCCAGGAAGGAGAGCAGCATACTAGTTGTGCACTATTGCTTCAATGTGGCATGCTTCAGGCTCCTTCTGGTAGTAGTATATTCTACCTCACCAGCCCTTTTAAAGGAAAGGGAAGATGCTGAGTATATACTCGGCAGATATTCCAAAGAGACACTTAGAGCACCCAAGCAGATTTACTCCAGCCACCCACACACACATACTCTTTCCCCATGCTGGTTTTGTCACAGTTTCTGGGTCATAAAAATACTGGACAAATGATAATCTTCCTCCCAGTTTTTCATTGGGAAAGTATGCCTTATGTATCATGTACAATTGCTGATATTTTCCATATTCATTTCTGTAAACTTCAGGTGTTGGTTATTAGTTTGTTATATTTGCTGCAGGATGGTGCCGTGATAAGCAGACTTATTGGAATTATTTTATTTGGAGTTATGGTTAGTAAACAAAGCCCTAAGCCTTTCTCCCCATTTGAAACTTGTAGATTGACTGGTATAAAGTGGATTATAAATAGGGCTAGCATCTTTTTTACAGTGGAGAAAGGGAGGGGAAGATGCTTATTATGGATTACAGTATTATGCTCTGCAGGAATGATAAATCTTTCAAAACAATATGTAAGGCATTTTAAAAGATACATAGGAAACAAAGAACTAGGAATTATCAACCTTAAGCATTATCAATGCTTAAGAAGAAATTACACTCTTTTTGTGTATATGTTGTATACATGTTTGTTGTATATATGTTACGTATGTCTTTTTTAATATTTATATTCAATAAAAACTACTTTAAAAAAAAAGATACATAGGAAACAAAGAACTAGGAATTATCAACCTCTGATTCTCTACCTGTAATAAGAAGCCATCTTTGGAATTTAATGTATTTTCTATGTGTAGAAGAAGTTCATTCATGCAAGGAACAGTCTGAATTCCAGCCTGTTATATATATCATGAATGGTGTGAATGGGTTTTAATGTCTTAATGTTTTTAATTTTTAAGTGTTTTTATAGTGATTTTTTTAGTGTATTGTGAGTCGCCCTGGGTCTTCGGAGAGGGGCGGCATATAAATTGAATAAATTATTATAAATTATTATTATTATCAAAGCTGTAAGCTGTGCAAAGTGAGTATGAAAATTGCAAAGTGAGATCAAGAATCCATATATATAAGGAAAATTAATGATATAAAACAGAACAGAAACTATTCAGCAAAGCTAAATCTTGTACTTGTTTTCAAAAGCTTAGCACACATGAACAAGTTGTGTATGCTCTTAAATGGCTTTATCAATGTAATAGATTTTGTGTGAACACCATTTTCGCTGTTCTGTATGTTCCTCATTGTTCTTAACCTTTTTTATGATTTATCCACACATCCCCCTGACTGCAGAACGAATATCCCAGTAGAATAACTGCTTTTTGTGCCATGTCCTCCTGAGGCTGAACCCACAGTGAGACACCTTAAATTCATTTTTAGCTGCTTCACTTTTAAACAGTGTTTTCCCTCTTCTTCCAACACAATTTTTGCCATGGTTACAATGTCATTAACAATGTGATTGCTGGTACAGACATGGGTGGGATCTATCTAACTCTAGTTCACCATTTGGGATTATTGTGGCATGGTGCCTCCCTTCTTATTGCTGCCTGGAGGGACTTGGGAACTGAGGGAAGATAGGCAGGGGAGCATTATAGCATCCCTGTGGTCGGTTAAGGGACCAGGGAAATGCTACAGTGGCTGTAACTTCGGGTCCACCATACCATCAAATAGTTGCTAAGCGACCAGTCATTAAGACATCTATACTATGGCAGTATATACTGTAGATTAACAGTTGGTGTAGCAGTTTTTTGGCCACCAAACATCTATGATGGCTTAAGGTGACAGTATTTTAAGGTGGCTGCCCTTGTTATGCGCAGATTGTCTTATGAACGTAGACTTTGTGTGGACAAGTATAATGAAATATAGGACTAATTTATACAAAATACATTAAGTTTAAAAAAGCATGATGGTTACATAAATGTATTCAAAATAAACATATACAGTTGATGTTAAGATCTACAGACCCCTGTTAAAATGCCAGGTTTTTGAGATGTAAAAAAATCAGACCAAGATAAAACCACAGCAGAATTTTTTGCACTTTTAATATAATGTATAAGCTGTACAGTTTAATTAATTTTAATTTTAAAAATAAAATGAAATATTTTGTATAATAAAAGATAAACATAAAATGTACAATAATGTGGTTGCATAAATGTGCACAACCCCTTACAAGTAGGGATGTGGCTTTGTTCAGAATTTGGTTAAATTCTGAACAAAACCACATCCCTACTTACAGTATAAGGGAATGTGCACATTTATGCAACCATATTATTGTATATTTTTATTGTTATTTTTCTCTCATCCAAACTAATATTAAAAAGTAGTCAGCACACACCTGCCATTAATTAAAGTGACTCTGATTGAGCCCAAGTAATGGTCAGCTGTTTAGTAGGATTTTTATGACATTTACTCAGTTGCCTCTTACAGCAAATGTCATGGTCTGCAATGAGCTTACAAAGCATCAAAGGGATCTCATTGTTGGAAGGTGTCAGTCAGGAGAAGGGTGCATAACAATTTCCAAAGCATTGGATATGCCATGGAACACAGTGAAGACAGTCATCCACAAGTGGAGAAAATACAGTACAACAGAGACATTGGCAAGAACTGGATATCCCTCCAAAATTGATGAAAAAACAAGAAGAAACCTGAGAGCCAAGAGGCTTACAGCAACATTAAAGGATCTGCAGGAATTTCTAGCAAGTACTGGTTGCGTACTACATGTGACAACAGTCTTATATTCTTCATATATCTGGGCTGTGGAGTAGGGTGGCAAGATGGGAGACTTTTATTACAAAGAAAAACATTCAAGCCCATATTCATTTTGCAAAAACCTACATCAAGTCTGACAAAAGCACATGGGAAAATGTGTTAACCTGGTCTGATGAGACCAAAGGCTGAACATTTTAGCCATAATTCAAAAAAGTACGTCTGGCACAAAAACAACACACTGCATCACCAAAAATACACCATCTCCACAGTGAAACGTAGTGTAGCATTATGCTTTGGGGCTGCTTTTCTTCAGCTGGACCTGGGGCTTTAGTCAAGTTGGAGGGAATTATAAACAGTTCCAAATATCAGTCTATTTTGGCACAAAATCTTCAGGCCTCTGCTAAAATGCTGAAGATGAAGAGAAATTTCACCTTTCAACATGACAAAAACCCAAAGCATACCTCCAAATCAACAATAAAATGGCTTCACCAAAAGAAGATCAAAATTTTGGAATGGACCAGCCAGAATCCGGACCTGAATCTAATTGGGGTGACCTGAAGAGGGCTGTGCACAGGAAACGCCCTCCCAATCTGATAGAAGTGAAATATCTTGGTCTGATTTTTTACATCTCAAAAATTCGGCATTTTGACAGGGGTATGTACACTTTTTGTACCCACTATACATACTTGCATTAGGTAAGTATATACAGAATTGAAATTTTACTCTCATAACTATATTTTTTCTTTTTATCACCTTTTTAAAGCAATTACCATATGCTTTTTATTTTGATAATGTATATATTTCTGTCATGATTATCTTTGTATTTTTTTGTTCCTTTTTCTGTTATTACTTTAAAAGCAATCAATATAAATTTTAAAGGGTGGCTATGCTCCTAGATTAAATGTTTGTGGGTTTAGAATGTATGAGTGGAATAAAAACATGTACCTATCTTTTTTTTTTTTTTACAATTTGAAGAGAAATCAGCAATACACTCTCAGGGTGCTAGGTGATAATAAAAGTGATACTTTGGGACTATCTGCTTTCTGCAGACTCTCTGATACAGAGATAATTTGTAAGTCCAATTGTGTTCAAAGCCATTCAACTCTCAAATTACTAAATATTTAATTTTAGTAAATTAGACAATTCATAAATCTGTTTTAAGTACTGCATAATCATTCTGCCTTCAATTTGGAAATATTGCTTTTCTCTTCAAAATGTAAAAAAAAAAAAGGTGAGAAATAAGGTGGAGTAACATTTCCAAATCATGCCTCTATTACCCAACCTCTTAATATCTTTGTTTCAGGGTGTAGATGTCTTTTGGCATTGGTTTCTTTCCCCCAAATAATGTTGTGGTAAAATGGATGTACTGTGCATTGATGCATTTATAGTTGCTCAGTGTTACTTTAAATTCTAAATGTTTTGTTCTGCCAAATGTGGAAAAAAGCACTTTTAATGAAATTCTAATTTTTCATTGTAAACGTATTTATTTAATGTTCAGTATCAAAAACATTAAAATATGAATTAGTTTAATTCAATAAATAAATGTATCCCTTTACATTCTTGGAATATTAATCTGCATCATCCTAATACCTTGATTATCTCAACAGATTCATGAATCATCCAGCTCCAGCAAACAGTCGTTATAAACCTACTTGCTATGAGCATGCTGCTAACTGTTACACTCATGCGGTAAGTAGATTTCCTGGAAGTCAGTTCTTACGATAGTCCGGATAATTCTGATTACTGTCTGCCATATATATTAGTGCATAATCCTATCCATGGATTAAGTAGACCCTCAATTTTTTAACCAAAATATAGTGAAAAATACACCATCTGTAGATAAGCCAAACTATTGTGAAAATCAATGCATCAGAATATTTTGAGTGTCAGCTTATCCATGGGTAGCACATTTTTCATCGTGTTTTACTTAAAAACACGAGGGTCTGTTTATTTGCGAATGGATTAATATGAGAGTATGCATGGGTACTTTTAAAAAGTATTGCTGTATATACTCATAGATAAGCCCATCCATGGATAAACTCAACCCAAATATGGGAATTTATTTTGGCACCTAAATTCTCGGTTTATCTGCGAGTGTATACATTAGATTTGATAGTATATTGATAATTGATTAGATCAGGGGACCTTTCATTTGTTATCCATTGCTTTAATTCATTTTTCTGGTACAGTACAGGCTACTTGTGTTTGGTTTGTGTACAGTTTTGGCAGTTTATGCTAAAGGGAGGACTCAACCAAAACCTTGTAGATTCTTTTCCATTGTTTGCTTTCATGGGACATGAAATTCATTAAATATATTTATTAAATATAGTAAATTAATTCAGTATTATATCAGGTTTTGAGTCCCTCACCTTTTCTCCCCAAATTATCACAACAGTAAATTGAAATACTAAGATTTTGAGGAACTTAACTGGAAATAATATTTTCCTCCCTTCCCCTTTCCCTTTAGCAAAATGTGTCACAATTATTAAAATGCTGATCAACAAGTAGCCTGCCTCTTATTTGGTCTGTGTCAGCTAAGTTATTCTTCTGTTATTTCTATATCTCTTCCTCTTATTTCAAGTTTTCCTTTTATATTAGGTTGACCAGCAGTCTTAGATTAGATAGTTAGTGCAATAGTTATCGTAGTTGCAATGGTGTAGTTGAGAAATCTCTCAAATAACATAATACATATGTTGGGTTTTTTAACTGTTAAGAGAATTGTCTGGTAAGATTTTAAATTTTTGGCTACAAGGACAGTGGTTTCATATAACAATTGTGCTTGTAAACTGGAACTAAGCAGGCATCTGAAAATAAATTGATGAGTATCAATTTATTGATACAGTATTGGCTAGTACCACAATACTGTATAGAAAGTATTAGTTATGTCATGCATCTTTGACTATACAAAAATTTTCATATACTTTTATATATAATACATATAAGTGAATAAAATGTCTAGGCTTATCATGCTGTTTAGAAACAAGTATATTTTCAGCAGGCTTGAATATGAAAATATTTTAGATATCTTACTTTATATTTTAAAGGCAATGAAGTAGTTACAACACATAAACATGTTAACGCAAAATTTGGTTGGTTTAGCCCTGTGCTTTTGAGCAAGGTATAGTAGCCTGGTTCACAACTAGTTCTAAGCCTAAACTATGGTTTATTATGCGTAGTTTACAGGTTGTACTAAACCAGCATCCAGCAATTTTAAAGACAGTAATCATGAGTCTCTGTATTTAAAGCATACACGTTAGATATTTTGTAAGTATTCGGGGGGGGGCTGTTCCTCACTTGCACAGTGAATTTAATTTCAGCTAATTTTGATCTCAAACACAATGTTGCCTGACAGTTGGGTGCTCCTTTATGCCTTGGCATGTGGTGTGTCGTTGTGACACAGCAATTCTGTACCAGCAGTTGCTATTCAAGATAATTGAGAAATCTTGAGATTAAACGCTCAAGGAAATTAGAAACATAGTTCCTTCTTTCCATGATAAAAATGGAAATCAAAAATTTGTTTATTTGTTATATACTAGGATAATTTAATTTTGTTTTTAAAACCTCACTTATTTTCACTTCATTTGAATCAAGGGACAGAGAAAAAAAATGACTATTAGGGCTTTGACAGCTATCTGAGATAAAATGTCTTCTGGGCCAACCTCCTATGTGCCCAGGAAACCTTGAAAAGGTTTCAGACCATTCATTATTTTAAGTAGGGGTGCTTTGTTTGTGAACCAAATGATTTATTAAAGTATTTGCACAGTAATATGCAGGGCAAATTTATAAGTGGCATAAAATTCAGAGGAGGAACAGCAAGTAATTCATTGCCGTTGTTTTTTTTGTTTTGTTTTGTTTTCTTTTTGTTTTTTGGCCTAGTTTCTTATTTTCCCAGCCATTGTTGGTAGTGCCCTCCTTCATCGACTCTCTGAGGATCAATGGGAAAAGATAACAGCATGGATATATGGAGTTGGTCTGTGTGCACTTTTCATCGTTTCAACAGTGTTTCATATCATTTCTTGGAAGAAGAGTCATCTAAGGTAGAGATTTCTGGCACTTTCTTCTGATACATTCTGATCTATTTCTAAGAGTGCTTTTTAAGTAAGACTTTTATGTTGTTATGTTTTAGAGCAAAATAGATTCGTTACAATGGTTGTTCTTGGTACAATTTATCTTTTGTAATTTTAAATATTCCCTGATATCTAGATCACAAAATATCCTGAAAATTAAGCTACCGAGAGCAAATGTTGAATGCATTAGCATTGATCATAGGGCTTAGTCCCACTCTTTGCAAGGAATGTACACTCTTTAAAATAGTCACTTACTACATTTCTGCAATCAAATAATCCAGAAACATTTTTTAGTTAGTCCCTTGAAACTCATTAGCAAACATGGAACTTCAGGATGAAGAAACTAACTTGGGTAACTTCCCTAGAATTATGCTCTCTTGCAACAGTTGCTTATGTAAGAAAACCATATCTTACCCTCAACATTTGCATCCCCTCTTCTAATTTTGGGAAGAAAACATTCTCAAGAGTCCTATGATTTCTATAGGAAGTCTTCTTTTTATTGAATGTTTACTGGTCTCTAAAATACTAAAGTATTGTCCTATCTTTATCTACTACTAGCTTTTTCTACAGAATAGTTCTAGGATTTATTCATTTGGACACATATGGGGTATGATCAAACACTATTTAAAAAAAAAAAAAAGACAGAAAATCTAAAGGCATCTTAAAGCATAAACATGCCAGCATAATATAATTAGGGGAATAAAATAACAAATCATCAGCCTGGTCAAAAAGCTCACTTCGATTAACTTATTTTTGAAGCACCCAAACGTCCAGAATAGAATACTTTATTGGCCAAGTGTGATTAGACACCCTAGGAATTCGTCTCTGGTGCAGAAGCTCTCAGTGTATATGCAAAGCAACAAAGTAATAATAATCATAATAATGATACCAATAAGAGGGAGTAGTAGAGTAGATGAGAAAGATAATAATACTACAGCCGTAACACATGGGTAAATATACTTAGATATAAGAAAGTACTGTGGGAATTAGGTGTTCAGCAGAGTGATGGCACGAGGGGAAAAGCTGTCTCTGTATCTAGTTGTTTTTGCATACAGTGCCCTGTAAGTGGTGTCCCGAGGGGAGGATTTGAAACAGTTTATATCCAGGTATTGAGAGGTCTGTAGTTACTTTGTTCAGCCCTCCTTCTGATCCATCCTCTATGGAAGGCAGGCTGGTTGCAATTGTTCTTTCTGCAGTTCTAACTATCGTTGGAGTCTGTACCTGCCCTGTTTGGTTGCTGACTTAATAATTCCTCTGGGGCAGTCTGAACTTTCTGAGTTGATGCAGGAAGAACATTCTTCATTGTGCCTTTGTAATAATGGTTCTAATGTTAGGTGTCTATTTCAAATTTCAGGTTATATTTTTAAAAATGCTTTGATGACCACACATATATTTTTAATCAATTAATCCTCTAGTGTATACCTGCAATAGAAAGATGGGAATGTCATGGAACAAATAAAATATGAATTTTTAGCCTAAAATATACTAGAATGAGAATCGGCTGCATGCTTATCCCTCAACTGCTGGGAAGCTTTGATGTGCAGTGGAAGCTCCCCAAATGGGATATTACACACTCTCTCCAGCAGCCTCCTCATCAGCAGATCTTGCTGCCAGGAAGCATAGAAAAAATATAAATGGCTTCCTGGTGCCAAACATTGCTGAAAGGTCACAGTGAGGAAGGAGGAAGCCTTGTTGCTTCCTTCCAGCAATTTTAGTAAGTGGGGTGGGAGAGGGAGTAGAGGGGAAGAAAAACTCCTAAAATTAAAGGCATTCTTGCTGCCACTATAAGCCAATTTGCAAGTGACTGAAGATTTTATTACACACAAGAACAATTTTGGCACTTAGTTTTAATTGTCAAACAAGTATCTTGAGTCTTTTAATAGAATCCGTTTAAACAATGTTAATACATGAGCATATAAGTATACTGCAGTGATATATATGTTCTGGTCTGCCCGAAATATATATATGAAAAACACAAAGTTTTTGTCCTTCTCCAGGTACCAAATTCCTAAGTTGTATTGCAAAGTAAATTCAAGAATTCTTTTCTCCAGAATTTAAGCAACAAAATGACTTGGTACTTTCTATTGTATAATATTTTTGCTAAAATGTTTATTTAAAAACAAACCAAACCAAAAAAAAACCTCATAGGACAGTTGAATAAAATATTTGAACTGAAGACTCAAATATTGCTCAATTTTACATTTCAAAAATACAATAAAAATACAATTTTGGGAAGAAAGAGCAGAAAAGCACATTTGGATACCGGTTGTTTGATTTAGATGCTTTGCCGAGTGTTTTTTTTTTCTTTTCCTGAGAGGCTGGAGAAAATAAGCATCTTATAATGATCTTTCATTTTAGTTTAGTCTTCTCTGTCTGCTTAGTACTTCTTGGGTGGAATTCTAGGATAATTATTTTAATGGTACTTTTTTCTGAATTGTTCCCTGTTTGCAATTTAGGACAATGGAGCACTGTTTCCATATGTGTGACCGAATGATGATCTATATCTTCATTGCAGCATCTTATGCACCTTGGTAAGGAGGAAACTATATGCTCTTGGGTAGAAAACAAATGTAATCCCATATTACCATTGTAGCTTCCATCTGAAGGATTAGTTAAATAATTGCTCCTAATCTGAGAAAAAATAAAAGTAAAATTTGTTTTCCATCTGATAAATTAAGTCTGGTGATTGGGGCGGGGAGTGGGGCCTTTTCAATTTAGTTGACCTAATCCTACAAGAATAATACAGAATCAGATTTCTGCTTCATTGTGGACCATCCCTCAAATAATGTACCGCAGCTGTAGCTCTGAATGTGAGGCAACAATATTATGTGATGCTGCACTTACATTGTACTCTTTTCAGGGAACTGAAATAATTTTAATAGAATTTTATTGTTATAAGAAGCTATGGTACACATTTTTATGAAACTAAGCAAATTTTAGTTTCCAGTGTAATAGGAATTATAAATTATAAGATTAATAAATTAAAATGTACAGGTAGTCCTCAATTTATGACCACACTTGAGCCCAAAATTTATGTTGCTAAGTGAGATGTGTTAAGTGAGTTTTGCCCCATTTTACGACCTTTCTTGCCACAGTCGTTAAAGGAATCAATACGATTGTTAAATTAGTAACATGGTTGTGAAGTAAATCTGGTTTCCTCATTGACTTTGCTTGTCAGAAGGTTGCAAAAACTGATCTTATCACTCCAGGACACTGCAGTTATCATAAACATGAACCAGTTGCCAAGCATCCAAATTTTGATCACATGACCAAAGGGATGCTGCAATGGTCGTTAAGTGAGAAAAACAGTTTTGACGATTTTTCAGTGCTACTGTAACTTTGGTCACTAAATGAACTTATAAATCAAGGATTACCATATTTTGCTGTCAGAAATAAGTTTTTCAATTCATTATTTAATGTCAGTGATAGGAATGTTCTAAATAAGCTTGAAAATTATGCATTCAAGGGACATAGTGGCTAAGATGCTGAGTTTGTTGATCGTAAGGTCGGCAGTTCAGCAGTTCAAATCCCTAGTGCCGCATAACGGGGCGAGCTCCCGTTACTTGTCCCAGCTTCTGACAACCTAGCAGTTCGAAAGCACATTAAAAAAATGCAAGTAGAAAAATAGAGACCACCTTTGGTGGGAAGGTAACAGTGTTCCGTGCGCCTTTGGCATTTAGTCATGCTGGCCACATGACCACGGAGACATCTTCGGACAGCTCTGGCTCTTCGGCTTTGAAACGGAGATGAGCACCGCCCCCTAGAGTCGTGAACAAATGGCACACATGTGTGAGGGGAACCTTTACCTTTACCTTATGCATTAATACGGCTATATTTTAACTTAACTTTTTTCTTGAATTTTTTTAAAAACTAAAACCATATTAATAACAAAAGGGATTTGTTTTTCTCCTTCTTCCTGCCTTTGAGAACTCCTGACTGGATCTTTTTTTTACATCTGGAAAAATAATTTAAGATGTCTTTAATATGCCATTCTTTTATTAGTTCAGAAAGTCATTTAAATATTTTTTTTAGGTTAAATCTTCGTGAACTTGGGCCTCTGGCATCTCATATGCGTTGGTTTATCTGGCTAATGGCTGCTGGAGGAGCTTGTTATGTATTTCTCTACCATGAAAAGTAAGGATTCTTATTATTATTCTTGAAGTGATATATATCTGTCTTTAAATTTAGGAATATATCTCTTTGATAAGTGTTTGCATGTGGTGTTTTTACATAAAAAACATTGGAATAGAGTGCCAGTCAATTGCTTTTTCAGGATAAAACAGACCATTTTTATTTAATCACAGTCTTATTTCTCTTAAGAAAAATGCATTTCATATTAATTTTTCTCTCTCTTGCAGTGCCAGTATGAGGACATTATCAGCCTATAAAAAAAATCACTTGTCTCGCTTTTAAGATTTCTTTTTGATAAATAATTAAAGCAGCACTTAATATTCTGCTTCATGAGAACAGCTTGGATTCATATGAAAAAAATTAGAGTATGTGGCTGCAGTGCATTTTTTATTCCACTGTATACACCCAGACCATACTCTTAATATTAAAATTCTAGGGGAACATATTTTCTAATACAGCAACGGACAGAAGGTACATTAGGATTTATTGCTAACTGAATTCATCAAATCCTGAATATTCTCATAGAAGCTCTCTTAATTCTAAATTCACATATTTTGTTTCTGGCTTGAAGAGTTGAAGTAAAGTACAAAACTAGGCTCTGAAAGTTTTAAGTATGCTTATTGTTATGCTAGCTAGTAAGTGTGACTGATCTTCACGGGAGTTTAGCCCAATGTGTTGCCTCTAAATGTATCATTTGAAGTAGCTTTTCACATGTTTTGTGAAGTTATGAAAATTGTTACCCAATACAAGTAGTCTATCACAGTTGATTTAAAATGGGGGTCTCCAAATTTGGCAACTTTTAAGACTTGTGGACAAGGCTGGATGAGGAATTCTGGGAGTTGAAGTCCATAAGCCTTAAAGTTGCTAAGTTTGGAGATCCCTGCTTTAAAAGATTGCTGTAGAGCATGGGTGCCAGACTTACAGTCTGTGGGCCACACTTTTTTTTTTTTTTTTTTTTTTTTTTTTTTTTTTTTTTGAGCATGCCAGACAAAAAGTAAGCAGGATTTAGTTTTTGTTTTCTTCCATTTGGGGATGGATTGGAGCAATTTTTAAAGAGAATATCAGTGTCTTTATTCTTACAAAGTTTGACGGCATGTTTGAATTTTTTTAGAGAAACTAAACCCACCACAAATCAGAACTATTTTAGCTCTGGCCCAACACTGCTTGACCTTCAGCATACTACATGAAATCTTGTGCAGATCTTGAGCCACTAGCTAGTGTATACTCTTGCTAAAGTTTGTTATGCTGGGCTGCACAAGATACTGTTTCCACAAGTGCTTGGGATGCATCTTTTTCTGTCCATTACTTAGGAATGCATTCCCCAGTGTAAGGGAAAGTCTTCTTTCTGAATATTGGTGAGAGGTGGCAAGAGGGTAATTCACACACACATGTTTACTGATGCTGTTTATTTCTCTACTAACAATGGAAATTGAACCAACAAGAAACTCTTCCCATTTTCCGGCTGCTTCACGTTATATTAACAAATCTATCATTAAAGATTTGCTGAAGTTTGTTTCTATCTTCTGTCCAAAACAACAGGAATCTGGTTGATGCTGAAGCAAAAATATGTTGCGTTTCTAAAGCAAGAAAGTGTAGTTTTCATAATTGCAGGCTAATGTACCTTTTGTTTTTGTACATAGGTATAAAATTGTGGAGCTCTTCTTCTATTTAGCAATGGGATTTTCTCCTGCTCTAGTTGTAACTTCCATGGTAAGGAACGCATATTTAAATAGTTGCATTTAAAAGAAAACCTTTGTGCAATCACTGATACACTTCAAATTTAAAAGAGCACTAACAAGCCAACTTTATTTTTTTCTCCCTTTTTCTTTTTTTGGTATTGGAACAACACAAATGTAAGAAAGCAGCAACACCTTAAACTCTTCAGTGTGGTGTAGTGGTTAGGTGTTATACTAAGAGATAGGAGAGTTAAGTTCTAAGATCACTGGCAGCCAGAAACTCACCGGTGATCCTCACAGAGTTGTCCTTGTTTATTTGTTTGTTTGTCCAATTTATATAGCTGCCCATTTCATAAAATGAAAGATTCTAGGTGGCGTACTTTGAAGCTAAAGCAAATAATAAATCCTTAAAACAATTATTATCATTATTATTGCTAAAAAGCACAAAAACTGGGAGGGGGGGACCTATAAAAACAAAGCTAAGAAGTAGTCACTGAAAGGATGTTAATATTTTTTATAGGGAAGAGGATAGGGGAGGGACCATTCTTTGTCTCTGTAAGCTCCTGTGTAAAAGGCAGGATACAAATCAGATAAACAAATGAATAACAGCCTGATCATTATCTTAATTTCTGAAGACTTTTAGTAATATTAAGTTAACAGAACAGTTATGATTTTAATGGATGTACACAAACAATGTTGAGCCGCTGATGTTGGATGCATTCTATTAATAGGGATTGCATTCCTTCGCTGGATCAAAGTGCAGCATCCTGGAAACTATTTCCTAGCATTGCATGGACAGACAACAGAGCACTTCCCAATGCTCTAAAAGGAAACAGTGGTCAATAGTATAAAAGCCTCTGGAGAGATACAGCAAGCATCTCTCCAGTACAAATTATCCAAATTATTGGCTGTGTTTGTGCCAGCTCGTGTCTGAACGCAGATGTAGGGTGTAGATGATTACTTGTAAGAAGCGTTTGGGGTTGCAATGCTACTACCTTTGTCATTAATTTGGCTACACAGAGGGACAGTAGGAATTGGTTGGGTTCAAAGATATTTCCTTAAGGCAGGAACATTGTCATTGCTTTCCTTAAGGGATGGGAGCACTTGGCCTTAATTATTCCATATCCAACCAAGCCACTGAAAGACACTTGATCAAAGAAGATATTCCCCAGAATCATCTAGCATTCAGTCAGATCCATTGACCTTTGAGGGGAATCCAAACTAATGCACAAAACGCATGAAATCATGAACTTCCTTGACTCCAGCATGGAAGTTAAATTTTTGGAAGCCTTCAGATCTCTAATTCTGCATTTAAGACTACCTGTATCTGCTCAGTCAGGGTTTCTATTAGATGATGAAGCTGCCAGCATATATCCTTAAAGGTAGCCAAATCCCAAAGAGAAGAATGGTGGAAGGGTCTCTTCTGCATGAAGTACTTGGTTGGCAGAAAGTGAACCCATACAAGTTGCTGTTCCCCATTTTTTTTTTTTAATTTGATTTATATGCCGCCCTTCTCCGGAGACTCAGGGCGGCTTACAATGCGCTAAGCAATAGCCTTCATTCTTTTATACAAAGTCAGCTTATTGCCCCCACAACTGGGTCCTCAATTTACCTACCTTAGAAAGGATGGAAGGCTGAGTCAACCTTGAGCCTTGGCGAGATTCGAACCTGCAGTAATTGCAGACAGCTGGTCTTAATAACCAGCTTAATAACAGGGTGCCTTAGACCACTGTACTACCAAGGCTCGTTAGTTAACTCGTTGATTTTTTCTAATGTCATGGACATTAACATTTTTATTAGAGACCAACCTGGTGTTCATTGGAAGTATTATCAAGGTCTGTGGCTGCTCCACCTGACTGTCCAGGTTACTTCCACAAGCAGAGGCACAGGAAAGAATCATTATGTCTAAATAGTTTTACCTCTCCACATGGATCTGTCTCCCCATTTCTCCTCTTCTTCCATTTATCCTTATTATACTTGGATAGCAACACCAGTAGCTACTGGAGAGGAACGTAAACACCTGCCTAGGTCACAATAATCCTCTCCCTTCACTAAAGCAATAAATATATTGCTGGTCACTGCAGAAACCAGGATGCTGTATTACAGAGCCTCTTGGTTTTAAGCCAAGAGCCTTTCATGTCAATACCTGTTAATAGTTTTTTACCTTTACCTTGTCTGTGTGTAGCCTGAACAGAATTGTACTGTATTCCTTAAGTGTTAATGACTTCTTTTATATGCACTCGGGTTAAAAAGAAACTTGTTCCCTTTTCTGTTCATCTACAGAACAACACGGATGGACTTCAAGAACTTGCCTGGGGAGGCATAATTTATTGTATGGGAGTGATCTTCTTCAAGAGTGATGGAATAATTCCATTTGCCCATGCCATCTGGCATCTGTTTGTTGCCACAGCAGCTGCCGTTCATTATTACGCTATTTGGAAGTATCTTTACAGAAGTCCTGCAGATATCATCCTTCAGCTATGATATGAAACACAAAGAGACATTTGCAACAACAATATGCCTTTGACTCAGTATTACTTGGGGAAAAGAAATTCTTGGGAAACGTGGGGAGGGGGAATTGTAGAGGGAAAAATGCACTGACTTCGATCGTTTTCACCTTTACTGTGAACTTAAGTGACAAAAGTCTTTCGTAGAATTACAGTTTGCATAGCAAGTGCTGGAGCACCTCATTCTGTAAGCACTGTCCTAGGAGAGCCTCAGTTGAAATAAATAGGACTTGGGCAAGAACATGGCACTCCTGTTCATTTCAGGCCAGCTTGCACAGAAGCCTATTCTTTTCATGTTGCATCCACCATGAAGATGTGGAGGCTACATCTAACCGGTGAACTTACAGGTGGGGCATTTAAGTCCATTTAAGCCCAGGTTGGGATTGTGGTTCAAACCAACATGCTGCATTATGAAATATCCATTCCACATTAACAAGCTACAACGATGTGAAAAAATGGGTGGTGGTATGTTTACAAATTCTTTTTTAATGTCTGTCGTAAGTTTAACTTCTGCATCTTTAAACGATGTAAACTTACGAATTGTAGAAGTTTTATGTGATAGCAAAACCACATTTTTAAAATTGCCTCGATCACTTTTCACAAATAATTTCATAAAATACAAATCATGGACCGATAGGGTTTAGCTCTTCCCTCCCAAACCTGATAAACCAATGTGACTTTTATAAAATGTTTTTTTAAAATAAATTAAAGAAATGGCTTTTTTTTTTCTTTTCTTTTTTTGGGGGGCAAAAACCAAAAACAAACCTGCTACATTCAATGTATTGGTACATAATATCTATCAGGTTTTTCATTTAAAAGAAAATGTGATTGATAATAATTTCTAAAACTGGCTTTGCCAAACTAAAAACCTGAAAAGCTTCCGCCCACTGTGGTAAACTGAATTGCCTGTGTGGAATGTATTTCAGAATACAACTAATGCTACCTAATACAGTGCCATTTCTAGAAGAATTTGTAGGTACCTGTGTGAAAGCATTCTGAACATTTTAGTTAGAAATTGTGACCAGCAGTTAACAGCTGTAACATTTGAATGACTAAAGCATCAGTAATTTTGTAGATTCGTAAGATATTTGGTGCTCAAGAAGAGGTTCTAGTGCAACTTTATGCCTATTTACTCAGAAGTAAATCTCGTGGTATTAATGAGGTTTACTCCCTAGTGATATTAGGACTGCGTCCTTACAGTATTCAAGATTACTAGTTGAGCCAATTACTCCCATTGGGTGTAACCTCACTAGGATACTTTTGCCATTTCTGAAAACTAAAGAATTGCTGATAAATTTTTGAATATTAATAGTGAGTGGTTCACTATAACACCCAAATGGCCTTTATTGAAGGGAAACTTAAAAGACTTGTGATGTCTCCTCCATTTGGGATTTAAAATCACAAAACTGCAAGCGTATGTGGTTCTTACCATAGTAATTGGGATAATAACGGTAGCAGTTTGGTTGTCTGGTGTGCTTATTAAATGACAAGATGTTTGAATCTTCGTTGTGATGGTCATTGTCAAGTTACTGTATACGTCCCACTGTATTATGAATGTCTTATATTAAGATTGAATTTATGCTTTTTGTAACTTGCTCTTTTTCATGTAAGTGGTTAAAAAAAAAAAAACCTCTAACGAAACATGTTGCCTTTTTCAGATTTTACTCTGGAGATTTTACCTGTGAAACAACAGAATGAAACTATAAAAATGTTGGGGGAGGGTTGCCCCTCAGCACCCAGGAGTATGTAAACCTCTTCAACATTTGCCAGTTGGTTGTAATCTGGCTTCTAGAGTTTGATGCCTTCGTTTTAGATTAGAGAGGCTGCTCAGAAAGAAACCTGGTTTCAGTGCAGTATTAGCTAATGACTATAAAATTGTAACTTATCAGACTCTCTTCCAAAGCTGTTCAGAGTGTGAAGGGGTCTGTAAATTTCTGACTAAGCAGTAGTTGTTTCTTTTTCTTAACATGTCAACATTTTATAGACAATGTTGCAAAAGAACGGAAGAGCCTTACAAGAAATTTCCATCTAGCTATTGGAATCCAAGAGTTGGAGAACTTAAATATATCAGAGTACAAAACGTTTACTGCGTCCATTCTGGAATATCTGAATGACACAGTTCTGTTTTTTATTTTCTTAACTGATGTATCTGATTCTAAATATTTTCACTTTACATGAGTTCTCTTAAGTGTAGTGCTGTTAAAACCACTAAAATGTGTTTAAAGCTCTGTTTTTGTTAAAACTAGTTCTAAATAATACTGCTACCTTTATGGTAATTTCTTGTGGTCTTTATAATGTTGCATATTTTAAGGATGAAAAGTGTTAAGGTTGAAAACAACTGAACATGTCCTACCCCTAATTTAATCTAGTTCCTGAAGGTTAAATGTACTGGATTAATGCAAATAAACATTTTGTGCAATTTGGAATTCTGTTGGCAAATGTTGATTTATCATGGTCTGGGTCATACAAGACTAGAAGTTGCTATGGTTCGTTTTGTATAATCAAGATTGTGGCCATAAGTGAGGCCCCTGTGGGCATGCAAAGGTACCAGAGTGCCAGACACTGACTAACTACCATACATCTTTTATAGTCTGCAGCACAAGAGAATACTGACATCTGGCCCTATACATATATGTTTGAAAGAAGATTCAGCTTCTTTCCATATGTTTCTTTTACTTGAAGGAAATTACTGTGTAAGAATAGAAAAAGGTTGACTCTATAGAGTGAGGGGGAATGTGCTCTTAAAGGGTGTGCAGGGTTTTAATATCTGCATTCTGCCTCTTTATTGTAGTAATGAAGAAAGGGCTACTCTGTGAAAATATTGAAAACAAGCAACAGTTCTAACCCCCAGGTCTGGTGACTGGAAGGGGCTAGAATGAAGTAAAGCATCATTCTACCAGTTGAGTAATTTGTCTATAGGGAGATTCATTGGTGCTGGGCCCCCAAGTAAAATGTTGCAAGCTCAGATGGAAAATGAGTTTAGACCAGCTAATTCTAAGGCCTTTTCTTTCCCTCAAGAAGTGCTAGAATAGGCCCTCACCAAGTTTGCATCCATATTTTCCTTCCCAATCAGACATAAAGGACTGAAAAAATAGAAGAAAACATTGACTTGTTGCTTTGTTCAGCTTAAGTGACAGGCTTTGAAGAACCTGGGCAGCCACTCATTCTCAACATTACTTAGAATTGTATTGTCCTGATAATTGATTTCATCACCAGAGTAGAAAACATTCTAAATCTTGAAGCATGCAGATATTAACTTGTTTTAGGGTTGACATTTCAAAGGGAACTCTCTGAACTGTAATCTCCAACAATCTGACAATCCTACAACAGAAGTGTAAACTAATAGCAATGATTAAAAACCGAGCCTGGATATCTGCAGTCAAATCTCTTGTGAAGCATCTTAAAATGTAGTATTTGTGAATGTTTACTATATTGGAATTAGTTTGGCAGTTTACTTCAGTGTGACCATGTGCCCACCATACATACTTGAATAGATACTCTGAATCTGTATTTTAGTGTAATTTGGCTTATTTAGAAGTGTTTACACATCAGCATATTATTAGGTGAATAATTATTCCATTATCCACATGCCGTTTGGGAAAGTCTATGGTTTTAAAAGGATGCTAAAAAAAAGAATGGGTCAACATACAACATTGGTGTTGAAGTAGTGTTGGAAGACACGGTTTAGAAATCCATATATTTCTAATCAGTCTTTCAAGCTTCACAAATCCACAGGCATGTGAGGGGTGGGGCCTTAATTCTAGAAGATCATTTCCTAGCCCCAGGATGAATGGCCTTTCCCTTTTATATCTTGTAATTTTAATATTCATGTATTAGCATGAACAATTCCCTCCCTCCCCCAATTACATACATTCAAAAGCATCAGAAAATGCCATAGAATTGGCAGACTGCAAAAGAAAAAGGGAGTCTTGTAAGAAATGTTTCTGAGTATTATTTTGATTATGTTAATGGGTTGACTGGGAGCTTCAGGATTTTTAAAATTTAAAAAGATTTCTCTGTTGAGGAGCCCCAAGGGCTTTCCCCAATTACATATTCTAAAAGGTGCCCCCAGAATCCTACTTTTTGCTGGCATAGATTAACAAGGCTCTCCACTTACATAATTTAAACCAGTTGATTATTCTTATTTTTCCTTAAGGATTTTTTTTTTAATATTTCCAAAATCTTTTATCAATTTTACTGCAGTTTGGAAGGCAATTAGCAATGCAGTTCAATGTGGTGCAGTGAAGTAGTTATAATACTTCACTTGATCATGGTCAAATGTCTTTGGGGCATATAATCTCAGCCTGACCTAGTTTACCAAATTGTTTTGCAAATGAAAATAAGGAAACATCCCATGTTCGCTGCCTTGAATTCTCGAGACAAAAACTGGAATATTTTATGGGGAAAAAAATTCTGCATAGACTGGCAGCATACCTACTCTTGCGACTTTTGATAGAAAACAAGAAAGCAAAGAATTTGTTGCAAGTTCCCAATGTTTTCTGAAGCTGTAATACTGAAACAGGACGCAGTGGCTCAATGGTTAAGATGGTGCGCTTGTCAATTGAAAGGTCAGCAGTTCAGCGGTTCAAATCCCTAGTGCCGCGTAATGGGGTGAGCTCCTGTTATTTGTCCCAGCTTCTGTCAACCTAGCAGTTCGAAAGCACATAAAAAATGCAAGTAGAAAAATAGGGACCACTTTGATGGGAAGGTAACAACATTCCGTGCGCCTTTGGCATTTAGTCATGCTGGCCACATGACCACAGAGACATCTTTGTACAGCGTTGGCTCTTTGGCTTTGAAACGGAGATGAGCACCGCCCCCTAGAGTCGGGAATGACTAGCACATATGTGCGAGGGGAACCTTTACCTTTTAATACTGAAACATTTTGAATGTTGTTTCATCACTACACAACCAACCTGAACTACTTCAAACTGAGCTCTCATTCTGAGCTTGAAACAAGCCATATTCTCAATATAGTGCCTACCCCTATAAGTAATGATTTATTTAAGGTTTCAATTCTGCTTTAATGGATCTTACAAATCTTATATAAATAAAAGCACCTTGGGCTGATTTGTGTAAAAATAGGAGGAACCTCTATTTGTGACACTACCCAAACCTCACCATTTCTACGATAAGCCCTTTTTATATCCTAAGCCAGTGATGGCTAACCTTTTTGCCATCGCGTGCCAGGAGCAGGGGACGGGGGGGGCACGCATGTGTGCCAACACCCATAATTCTATGTGCCCACTGGAAGTTGGCAAACGGGCCGTTTCTGGCCTCCGGATGGCCTCCAGGGGTGGTGGGGAAGGCCATTTTAACCCTCCCCAGACTACTAGAAAGGCTCTGGAGCCTGGGGACAGCAAAAAACAGGCTTTCCCCACCACACCCGAGGCCCCCCGGAGGCAGGAAACAGCCTGTTTCCTTACTTTTGGTGGGCCCAGAAGGCCTGAAAATCAGCCGGCTGGCGCGCACATGCACACCAGAGCTGAGCTCGCATGCCCACTTATATGGCTCCGCGTGCCACCTGTGGCACGTATGCCATAGGTTCGCCATCACGGTCCTAAGCAAAGGACTGTTCTTCACACGGAGCCTAACTGGAAGGGTGACTACAGGGTAAATGTTCTATTTGCTCTGTTAAGTCACATTATTAGCAGGCTTTACATTAGAGGTGGATGCATACAGTAGCCCCGTATCTCTCTGGAATTTTAGGCATCAAATCTTTTAAACCTGAACTAAACGTACAGTAAGACATAAATAAGGTTTTCTGCAGTCTGAAAGACAAGGAAGAACGGACTACAGAGGAAGTGCAAAGTCATAACAAAACAGTGAAGTTACAATCACAGATTCTTAAAATAGCTTTCCAAGTTTCAGTTGCTCTTGAGTTGGTTCAGGGTAAGAGTGTTTCACCATAGCACACTACAGTATGTGAACAGGTTCTGGTTCGTCTCCCACTACTGGGAGTGGGAGATCAGTGATCATATTAATAACAGAGAACTCAAGTCGTTCGATACCATTGTCTTTCAATTAAGTACACAAAAGAGAGAAGATAACTTTTGAGAATCTTTTTTGTCATGAATCCAATCAATACCCCAACCATCAGTTTTAGCATGGCCGCTGATTAGGGATGATAGTCCAAACAATTCCTGGTCATACATTCTCCACTCCACTTATTTGGGCAAGATTTTCTCCAATCAGGATACATCTAATGATACAACAAAAAACAAGCATACCAGAGAGTATGGTGACACAATTGCACAAGTAGTAAAAGTTCTTTTTTGTGCTAAATTAGTTTTATTTTTAATAGTTTAACGTCATTTAATGCTCACATATTTATGGAAAAACGTCTCTTTCAAGTAAGTATTTTTCTAAGTAAAAAAAGCTAAGAGAAACTTGAGAAATCTGCCCTGGCGGATTCAAGCTACTTTTTTCTCTGTAGATCAAGCAGTATCCATTTTATTTTCCTTTTTAACAAGTGATGTTTTTTGGGGCAGATGGTGAATTGATTTGCCAGAGCAAGATCTTCAAACTACCTCTTGGATGTCTATGGAGATTCTCAGTCATCCAGGCCATGGTTGTCCCAATTGTGCTTTTTCAAAAGGCAACTAGACTTTCTTAGCTCTTGGATGCCCTCTTGCGTGAAGAGATGGTGTTTTATATTGGTAAATGGATTTCTGTTTTCATTGTATATATTTTCTTTCCGTTGATTCTTCTAACCACAGGTTTGATCAAGTATCTGAGGGCAGACAACTATCATATCGACCCTTGAAATAGGTGGTTCTGGGGAAGAAGTTCTAATTTCTAACCACAAAATAGTAATCACCTACCTTCTATACAAACAATAGAAAATATAAGATCTGGCTATTTATTTTTAAAAAGATACAATCTAAGCCTTTAAAAATATCAGCTCCTACAATGAACAATCTCTACAATTTTCCCCATGAGTCTGCCAGTTCTACCCATGTTTCCCCGAAAATAAGACCCTGCCTTATATTTTTTTGAACCCCGAAATAAATGCTTGGCCTTATTTTTGGGGATGTCTTATTATTTTGGGGCATGTGGAGCAAGGCGGGGATCCTCTTGCCTTCTTAACTGATTTCCAGCTCTGTCTCCCTAAGCCTAACCAGAGGAAACGGCGGGGACCGGCTGCACATACAGTCAAATATTTTCAGAGAGGGCTTATTTTGGGAGGGGGGGTTACTTTAGCACACACGCTCAAAAGCCCGATTGGGCTTATTATCAGGGGATGTCTTATTTTAGGGGAAACAGGGTATTCATTGATGAAGATCTAACCCTAACCCTAGGTGTATTTTCCCCCGAATGGAATTTTCTCATCTATCTAATCACAAATTGTAAATAAGGCTGACTCGAAAAGTTGGTGTCCTCCTAAGCATAATCAAGCACTCTGAATCCATTCGTGATGTCCATT